ACCATATATGAGTTAATTGAACCAACCAATTTGATTAACTATTATTACAAGTCTTGCTTGATTCGAATTGAACACTAGTAAATTCTTTGATTTAATCACTTGATCATTGCTTGAATTGATTTATTTGCTAAATGATTAGTAATAGTGAACATGAACCTAATCACATTAGAAATCGGTAATTGATGATATGTTAATCCATTGCACTTGCCTCGAAATCAACCATAGGAATAAGTGAATCGAATCTAAAAGAAGTCTCTTTAATCTTATTGAATCTAGTTGTCTTTTGCTTCTCTTTTAGTTGTTAACTGTTCTTTGCTAAGTGTTTAGTAATTGCTTAAGTTTCTAGTCTTGCAAAACTAGAGAAAAACCCATTTTAATAATTATTTTATTTTGATAATATTAGTAATATTTTAATTGTTTACCGTTCCCTGAGTTCGATACCCTATTTGCCTACACTAAACTGCTAATCGATAGGTACACTGCCTTCCGTGTGTTTGTTTTTGTGTTTGAGTTAGTTAGGATTAAAACTAGTACATTCTACACGTATAACATGGACATAAGTCATTAAAATGACCAAAATACCCCTCATAGGTTCCATTACTAAATTTTATTGTTTCATCTCATTCCTTATGCACAAATATGAATGTAGGCGAAAATTGTGCACAAATCCGAGTTAGTTTGCAAAAGTTATGAAAATCACATGACATTTCTCAAAAGGAAACACGACCCGTTTAATGAGGTTTGCACATATAAAATGCGATTTTTCATAAAATGGTACTCTACTTTGCATAACTCTTGATGCCTCATTCCAATTCACGTTGTTTCATTTATTTAGGTTCTCACACATGTTTAGGAGGTGTTTTATCATCTTAAAATACTCCACTTAATCCATTAAGTTTTCATTGAAACCTTTAATATAATGATGATCTTTAAGCTTTAAATGAAAGTTTAACTAGTCAAATTTCCAATTGTATATTCTAAAATTCACATAGTTTACTCCTAACTCATTGAATTCTCATATGAAGGTTGTCAAGTACATAAAACCACATCCAATTCCATTACAAGTGTCTAATTTAACTATGGAATCCTCAATTCCATTCCATGTTTCCCAAATTGCCCTTTGGGCCAAAACAATCACTAGGGCTAGAACTTCACTAACATCCCTTCATGGTTATGTTCCAATTTCATCTCCAGAGTGTTAATTCATGTTCATGAATGTCATTCATTTCCTAGATTTCAGTCACTAAGTAGTTATGCATAAATTTCTAAAAATGCCCTTATGGATAAATACTTCATACATTTAACTAAGCATCATTCAAGTCCTCATGTTTTCGCATTCAAATCATATTATTAGTATCAACTCATATTTATGAGTATCATATACTCATCGAATGCTCACACACCAAGAATTTTATTGTTTTCGTCACAATTTCTCCCAAAACCATCTAAAACCCATGTTTATGCTTGATTCTAACATCATGGATGAAATTAAAAATTTCAATTGGATTTATTGTTATCAAACATCATCTAGGTCATTTAATCCTTTCCAATTTAACATATAAATAAGAAATCCCCAATTTAGATTTCTAGGGTTCATGAGGGTTTTCACCAAAATCCTCAAATCCATTAATGGAATGATTGGATTGATATTGAGATCATCAAAACTACTTAAGGGAGGTTAGAAACCCAAACCCTAACCATTAAATGGAGCTAATTTCGACATTGGGGTTTTACCCACTTCACCAAAAATGACTTCTAGGCTAAATGGGAAGACTATTTTTACCTTGCAAGCCTTGATTCATTATTTCCTTTGTTTTATTACTTAATTCTTCACTTAGATAGAATCCAGATGGAAGAAGATGAAGAATTGCTAGATGGAGAGTCTCTAGAATGCCCATCATGAATTTGGAAGAGAAATGAGGAGGGTATTCATCTTATTTCTAGATTTTTTCACATTTGGTCCCTTAAGTTTGCTCATTTTAGCCAAAACTTACCAAACCTCAATATTTTTTACTTTAAGTCATGTTTTGACATAATAAATCATTCCTCGTCCATTTTATAACCTTGGTAATCCCTTCCATTGAGTTAACCCTTTGGTCAACTCACTTTGCCAACTTGACACTTTTGATGATTTAACTTTTAAAATGTTATTATTTCCTACTACTAACTTCCTAAACTTCATATCAACTTATGTTATGATTATTCATTAATGATTTAACTATGTAATTCACTTCCATTTATTTGTTTATTAACATAAGACATAGTCTCAAATTTTAGGATGTTACAAAAACAAGGATAATAGATAGGTAGGAAAATGTTTTTTATATGGTCATAAATAAGAATATACTTGCAAAGTACATTGTTATTTTAGTTTTTAATTTTGCTAATTTATTTTTTTAGTTTTTATAAAATCATGCTACATTAGACAAGTGAAATTATATTTCAATTTTTTTAATTTTCTATCTTTAAAAATTTGTTATTCAAGACAATTCCTTAAAATATGTCAAATAGTTCTTTTAAATACGATTTAAAAACAGTAGAAACTGAAACTCAATTATTCATTAATGATTTAACTATGTAATTCACTTCCATTTATTTGTTTATTAACATAGGACATAGTCTCAAATTTTAGGATGTTACAAAAACAGGGATAATAGATAGGTAGGAAAATGTTTTTTATATGGTCATAAATAAGAATATACTTGCAAAGTACATTGTTATTTTAGTTTTTAATTTTGCTAATTTATTTTTTTATTTTTTATAAAATCATGCTACATTAGACAAGTGAAATTATATTTCAATTTTTTTAATTTTCTATCTTTAAAAATTTGTTATTCAAGACAATTCCTTAAAGTATGTCAATAGTTCTTTTAAATACGAATTAAAAACAGTAGAAACTGAAACTCAATTATCATTTTATCTGTTTTATGTTAAAAAGTTGAATTAATCATGCAACACAAGGAAAAAGCGGCCTTTAACTTTAGACAACGCAATGAGAGCTAAAAGTTGCTTTACACTGCATTTGCTCTCATTTCTTCTCCGCATAATCCAACCTATGGACCCCTTTCTGTCTTTTACACGCTTTTTCCTAATATATGGAGGGAGCACATAAATAAATAAACAAATAAAAGTAATATCTTTATAGAGATCATAGTTCACACTTTAATATATACTTGACAAAATATTTGTAATTAGTTCGAACACAATTTAATCCGCATGTGGATTCTAACAAACACAATGGAAATGAAAATTAGAACATCCACAACACATGGTTCAATGTTCAATAAATGAGTTAAAATAGGGTGGAATGTCGATTCGAAATATAAAGAATTAGACTTTACCTTAGCGAGACACCAAAATGACATACAATGAATTTGAAACTTGAATGTCCGGTGAATAAGAAAAAGTCTCATGTTTTTATTGTTTAACATGGACTCTCCAAATTACTAAATAAAAAAGTTGTAGGAAAATTAGAATCTTGTTAAATATTATGAATGTGTACAACAAAATTATCGTGGAATTAATAAAGTTTCAATTGTTAGTCACGAAAGACACCTATAAGGGAGGAGGGAGTCGTTCCCTCCCAACCCACCCAACCCACTGCCACATCAATTTTTGTCCCCTTTTTTTTCTTCATCTTTCTCAACCCACAACACACGGAAATCCTATTTTTTGAACCCACTCAACCCATTCAATTGAAAAAAATACAAAACAACTAAGGTACAAGTTTTAAAACACATGGTACAAGAAAAAATAAGAAAGAGAAAGTAGAGAGAGATGATGAAGTGGGTTAGTGAAACCAATCAACCCACTCGTTGAAGCGAGAGTGGTACCGCCGATAACTCTATTGTTAATTAAGATTTTACATTTGATTGTTTTGTATTTTTTTTAATTGAGTTGGTTGAGTGGGTTCAAAAAGATAGGTTTTCCGTATGTTGTGGGTTCGGAAATATGAAGAAAAATAAAAGAGAAAAAGTGATGTGACAGTGGGTTCAGTGGGTTGGGAGGGAATGACTCCCTCCTCTCTAATTGTGGTAAAAATAGGCGTGGTCTTGTGGACTTATAAAATGGAAGACCTGGATCAAACTAGACAAATTGTGCCTATGTTTAGCTAAATTTACTTTCTTTTATGAATAAGTTATTGTTTAGTTTTGTGAAGAAACTAGACTCGGTTTCTTCTATTTTTTAAATATAAAAAACGATGTCAGATCTATAACCGTTTCATGATTCTGTTTGGAATCCAAATTGTTCTATGCACACCATTTATATTATCTTAGATTTCTTTTTTATCGATCTAATTCATACATCAGGAATAACCTAAATTCCACACTATAAAGACAATTTAATCTGTAAAGAGAAACAAATTATATATATATATATATATATATATATATATATATATATATATATATATATATAGATATTAACAATACATTATAACTTAATTTCAAAATACAGCTCAAATTGTTAAAAGCATAAAACAACCCTAAATTCCACATTATAAAGACAATTTCATCTGTAAAGAGAAACAAAGAATATATATATATATATATATATATATATATATATATATATATATATATATATAAAAAACAATTTCTTCTGTAAAGAGAAACAAACAAAATATATATATATATAGATATATATATATATATATAGATATATATATATATATATATATATATATATATATATATAACTTAATTTAAAAATACAACCCAAATTGGATAAGTAAAATGTACACACAATTACATTATATATTAACACTACATTATCATTTTTACTCGTAGATAGAAGGATCTTGTCAGGTTGTTGTAAGTTTGTGTCTTTTTTCGAACTAAAACAACTCCAATTCAGTTCCAAGTTGTCAGAATTTTCCTTTTTTAGAATGCAATCGAACTTCTGATCTTCTGGCGACGCCCAAAGCACCAAGAGTGAACGACTTGTACAAAATTCGACGTAATTTTATGTTTGAGTTATGGTTCCTTGACCTACAAAAGTTACATATCTGGCAAACTGAACCAAATTTGCTCAAATGCTTTAACAATTACATCGTGATACTCATCTGAATTCAAAGAAAGATAACATGCAAGAAGCTCTTCCAAGTCCTTTGACGCCCGGATGTTGTTCTCGACGATCATCTCCATCATTGATTCCATGAAATCTTTCTGAGGATCATACGATGATTTCACAATTGCAAAGCTTTCTGACAAGGTCTTTCTCTGTGCAGACTTTTGAACGATCCTTTTGCTCACTGCTAGTTTGGGAGAATTGGCTCTGAGTTTGACTCCGGAGACTGATTTTCTCGCCGGAGTTTTGTTGGCTTCTTTGAGTTTCTTGCCGGAATGTGATGTTTGTGTGTTTCTTGAAGTGGGTTTGGCCGGTTTTGTTATTATTGGAGGGAGGTTAAGCTCTATCTCGGGTGACAAATCAAACCCACAGCTTGAATTATCACTATTTCTAGTCTCGTTTACATCGATTACGATGTCGGAAGTGGAAGAACTGACTCTACAGGTGCAAGAGGTGCACCAGGAGGCAGTGGCGAGTCCTGATTGGGTCGACTCGGAGGAGGGAGACTCGTGAAGGGAAAAAGGGATGGTGTTTGTTGTGGGAGAATGAAAAAAATCTTGAAGGGTACTTTGAGTCGAGTCAGCGAGTGAAGTGTGTTTTGGTGAAGGTCTGTATATGGTTTTTCTGTTGGGTCTAGTTTTTTTAGAAGATTTTCTTGGTGGGTCATGTAAATATGGAAATTTTGGTGAATTGTGGAATTGGGAAACTCTTGGGGTGTAATAAAACGAGTTTCTTGGCTGAGAAAAATGGTGGTTTTGCGGTGGTGCTGCGGTGTAATAAGAACCAGACGTTGGTTTCTTGTTGTGGGTGGTGGAAGTGGCGGTGGTCTTCGTCGTCTTGCTCATGTCTCTAAGTTTGTAAAACCAAGCATTTGGTATCATATCTGATAATCTAAACCTGTAATTCCCCATTAAAACGTCTCTCTCTCTCTCTCTCTCTTATATATAATTGTCGATATTTCACTCTGCAATCTGCATCTCTTTCGCCATGTGTGTGTTGAGTTTGGTTTGAGGAGTGAGGAGTTGAGAGGGGGATAATAAATAGGTATAAGAGATGAAGAGTCAAGTAGCACGGTGGGCAAATGGCAGGTCGAGTGGGCTTAAGGGGTGTTTGGCTTAGCTTTTTAGAGGACAAAAGTTATTTTTGGAAACTTTTTCAAAAAGTTGATTTTCCTTCTATCCAAAATCCAAAAATAGCTTTTAAAAGTCTTTTGCCAAACATCTTTTACCTTTGATCTTTTCCTAAAAGGACTTTTGGTCTCTCAAAAGCTAAGCCAAACACCCCCTTAATAAGATATCAAAAAGGATAATTTTTTTTTTTACAAAAAATGCAAATGATAGTTTATTTTTTTTATTTTTTTTAGATCAATATATATCGATTGAAGGCAAACGGCAACAAGCTGTGCCGCTAGCCATTTCTGAATAGCAAAACCAATTCTTTTGAAAACAACATTTGTGGATCTACGAGATATGACATTAGAATGCATGACCCGTTGGACTCTGTTGAAGAGCTCCACCGCCTCTGATGCGAGAAAACCAAATGTATCGAATGCAAAAGGTACAAACACATGTTGATTTTCTTTACATACATTCTCGTGCTTTACCACTTTGCACGCAGCAGCTTTCAAAGCAGCATGCCCTGCTGTGAAACCCCTGCTCCCCAAACCAACGAGAGGAGAGACCCCAGTAAGATCCACGCACGCATGCTTCCCTCCTATCCATCCAAAGACCAAAATGTCAGCCGATCTAAGTGTGGACCTTCCATCCCGCGGGTCCGTCAAAAAGTTCACTGACGCTTTTTAATAGACAAAATTGCAAGAATGGTCCATGTGGTTAGGTCGAAATTGCCACTTTGGGCCAAACAGGTTTGGAGTAGCACTCATGGTCCAAAGGTTTTCATTTTCTTGCCACTTTGGTCCAATTTACTTTAAATTTTTTAATAATGACCATTTTGCCCTTTGTTTTTACCTTTTCAGTTTTTTTATTTATTCAAATACTTTTATAATTAAAAGAAAAAGAAAAAAGAAAAAAATGTCAATCTCTCTCTCTCTCTCTCTCTCTCTCTCTAACAAAATGGAAACTTTTGTTTTAATACCAAGAACTCAATCCACCACCATCATCTTCTTCAAAACCCAACTCCACCCTTTTCCTTTCTCACCCATCAGTCCTCTCCCCTAGCCCAAACATCTCCGTCGAGCTCCACCATCCACGAGACCAGAGCGCCGGGAAAAACAGATCGGTGGTTTGATTACCACCAACATCTTCGACCTCAGATACACCGGAAAATCCAAGTTTCAAGCCTGTTTTTGTGTTGTGGTTTTTATCGGTCTTTTATGTCGGCTTCCCTCCAGTTCGGATCTTCCTTACATTGTGTGTGTGTGTGTTTGCTCTGGTGTGTGTGACTCTCCAGTTCAGATCTTCAAAATTAGTACCAGCTCTATACAGGTATTGTTCATCGTCTTCTCTACCTTCTCATCTCCTTTTGTAATCAGTATCTTCTGCTTCGTGGAACTGGGTTTATTGGCTTCCCAAAATAGAGGATGGAAAATATGATTTTTGAACAGATCTGGGATGTTCATGGCGGCTAGGGTTTCTTGGTGGTGATGCATCGTGTCCGCTAGGGCTTGTTTTAACATCTGATTTTTGCATCTAGTTTTGAAAACTGATTTGTGAATGTTCTTGGATAGATTAATGCTTTTGTAATATGATTTTGAATGCTTTGTCTGCTTTAAAATCGATGAACATTCAAAGATACATTGTTGATTTCTAATTTGATTTTGGTTATCAATGCTTAATATTTGATGATTCGATCAACTTTTCTTTTACAAAAAGATAAAACAAGAAATAAAATGATTTCTAATTTTTTATTCTTTTATAATGGTGGAATCTGATGGTGGTGGTGACAGGAGGTGGTGATGGTAGCTGTAGGTGGTGGTTCTGGAAAGAACAGTGGATGGTGGTGATTTAGATGCTCGGAGTAGATGCAGAGAGCTTCAGGTTCTAATGGAGAGAGAGAGAGAGAGAGAGAGAGATTTCTTCTTTTTTTATTTTTCTTTTAATTATAAAAGTATTTTAATAAATAAAAAAAACTGAAAAAGTAAAAACAAATGGCAAAATGGTCATTATTAAAAATTTTAAAGTAAATTGGACCAAAGTGACAAGAAAATGAAAACATTTGGACCATAAGTAAGTGCTAGTCCAAACCTGTTTGGCCCAAAGTGGCAATTTCGACCTAACCACAAGGACTTGCAATTTTGTGTTTTTAATATGAATTCTTTAAATATATATGTATAATACGCTAAGTAATTTTCCCAGGTTTCCTTTTTATTTAACCTTTTACGCCTTAGAAATAAAACAATATACAAACAGGGGACAAACCTTACACGTCTATTTTTTTCATAATATATCATTCTAAACAATTATTTGATTAATAGACTTTGACACCTTATTCAAAGATAATTTAGAGGGTGTTTGAGATTTTTTTCAAAAAAACTTATTAAATTATTGACTTTTTAAAAGTCATTAAGCTAAAAAATGTTTGACAATATGAAAAAAAAAAAAAAACTTTTAAAATAACTTCTCATTAACCCTTCGAAAATAAGATTTCCATACGTTAGAATTTTCTATTTTTAAAACTATTTATAACTTTTTGGGAGGTATTTTCAAATACCTCTTAAAATATTTATAAGTTAAGATAAACATTTTTAAAAAACAACGTATTGAAATATTGATTTTTTTTACCACAAAAGTTAATCCAAATAATTTTTAAAAAATTCTTTTTTTTCATCACCATAGTGTTGATCGGTGTGGTTTCGGCAATGACCTCGGCTAGCTCGACGAACACCGGGCCGAGTCATCGGCATGCCGAGCTCGGCTCAGCAACTCGGTGGAAACTCGCCCATGACAGAGAAAGAGTATTGTGTTTTAGTATTTGTGAATGGTGAGAAAGAGTATTGTGTTTTAGTATTTGTGAATGGTGAAAATGGTGGTAGTTATGTGTACGCTTCTTCTAAAGGAAGAAGATAACTAGATTTTCAACTTTGGCAGATCCAGTCCCTTCAGTTTGGTCTAATAGCAGATCCTGTCCCAAAGTTGAAATATCTTTTTACAATTGACTTTATGAAATTGCATAATATCCCCATGAACTTATAAAACTTATTTATATTAAAAAAATCGATTTATTTTTAATTATTATTATTATTATTTATATTATAAAACCTACAAAACTTGGTCTTTGATTATTTTTTATATTAATTAATTTTTTTTAAAAAAAATAAATGGCAAGTGTGGCAACCTGTGTCATGCAAAGGGCAAGTTTGGCTAAAGTGTGACAAATATGACGTGGCGCCTACGTGGACCGTGGCAAGTGTGACACCACACCCACTAGCCTACATGGACCGTGGCAAGTATGGCAAGTGTAGCACCACACCTACTACGTGAACGTACAAAGAGTACATACGCTAACAGCCCCCGCAGTTTGAACGGGATGACAAATCGCGAACGTTCAAGCTGGACCGAAAATCAAGAAACAACGGCGATGGAAGGCTCTTCGTAAAAATATTCGCATACTGAGAAGAAGATGGAACATGAAGAACACGAACATGGTCAGTGGCAACTTTGTCTCGTACAAAGTGCAAATCAAGTTTGATATGCTTTGTACGTTGATGTTGAACTGGGTTGGATGACATATAAACATCGCTAACATTATCATAGTAGACAATGGTAGCCATGTCCGGTACATAGTGAAGTTCAATAAGAAGATTATGAAGCCAACAAGTTTCCGCCACAGCATTAGCAACACCCAGATATTCAACTTTGGCACTGGACCTCGAGGTCGTGTTCTGACGTTTGGATGACCAGGAGAGAAGATTGTGTCCTAAAAACACATAATAACCCGATGTAGATCGTCGCGTGACAGGAACCCACCCCAGTCAGCATCAGAATAGGCACTGAGTGTGCGACTGAGAGAGGTAAATAGCTGAAGACCATGAGTCGTGGTACCTCTAATATAGCGGATGATGCGCTTGAGAGCAGTAAAACAAGGTTCCCTTAGATCATGCATGTATAAACAAATTTGTTGAACCGTATAAGTGATATCGGGTCGAGTAAATGTCAAATATTGTAATGCGTCTGCAAAACTTCTATATAAGGTAGGATCAGCAACAGGAGTACAAGTGTCATCAAGCTTAGCTGATAAGTCAGCCGGAGTAGATGCAGGTTTACAGTTGGTCATGGAAGCCATGTCAAGAATCTCAATAGCATATTGTTGTTGAGATAAAAACAATCTTTCAGTTGAGCGAGAGGTCGAGATGCCGAAAAAATACTGAAGATCCCCAAGGTCCGTCATAGAAAACTCAGTGCTCAATAGAGAAGTGATGTGAGACAAAAGCTGAGTCTATGAGCCTGTCAAAACAATATCATCCACATATAGTAACATATATGCCACGTGAGTACGTACCATGTCGATAAATAAATAAAGAGGAGTCACATCTGTTGTGAACAAAACCAATGCGAGAATGGCAAACCGTTGAAACCAAGCACGTGGTGCTTGCTTCAGACCATATGAGGACCGTTGAAGCAGACAAACATAGTCAGGACGAGAGGGATCACGAAAGCCCGGAAGCTTATGTATATAGACTGTTTCCTGTAGATGACCATGAAGGAACGCATTTTTAACATCAAGTTGTCGAATAGGCCACTGATGAGTGACAACGATACTAAGAACTGTACGAATGGTAGCAGGCTTTACCACCAGACTAAAAGTCTCTTCACAATCAACACACGGTCGCTGACTACAACCATTAGCGACAAGACGCACTTTATAGCGCGATAAGGAGCCATCTGCA